GATGCGTTGTTTGCATGTTAGGTGATAGCTCTAAAGGCTAATTGACTAATGTACGTGAAATTTTAACCAAGTCTTTTCAGACCGGAAAAACACACTTGCGGGTTAAAACTACCTGTGTTTTGGATGTTCGTAACTAGTCAGAATTAAACAAAAATTAATGAACGTAGGCTGATTATTTAGTTACATTATACGCGTTTATAATTTGCTAATTAAATTTTCAACGTCTATTTGCGATGTTTACTGGCGATGGATGATATCACCCACATGGAATTTTACAGTACAAACACTATCTCATGAAATGTTAGCCAAACGTCTTAAGTAGGGTTGTCATATTAATCACTGGGCAGCATAATCCTAAGATATTTCGGAAACTCGTGGATGCCGGCTTTTGAATGAACCTTAGTTCGGCTACCTGAGAAAACAGCATTCTATGAAAATAAGTGCTTTTAAGGCATAGCTTTTTATTCTTCATTTTCGATGCTACTAAATATGTCAATATGTTTTATGGGAAACATGCACATCATTGTCCAATCGTTTATTCCTTTGGGAGATAATTCCGTCCTCATTATATATTATACTCAAAGAAAGCGCATAATTCCGTTTAAAAAATCTTTTCCGATTGCCGAACAATTTTGAACGCGACCTCTGTTGCATTTCTTTTCAGGCCTTCCAAATTAAAAGTTGTGACATTCCGGCGCACGAACAACAAAATATTTAACTGCAGTATCATAAGGAGACTTTCTGAAGTTTATATAATTCACCAATGGATTTGCACCGCATTGTAAGCCTCACAAACCAAATACGTGAATGCAGAGATATGAGGTTTGAGGAACGGGCATTTGACGATCTGAAAAATCCCATAAACGGAAAAGTTTTTTTTTTAAAATCGAGGCATCACTTTCCTTTCAAGTATAACCTTTCAGGATAACGTAATTGCCCACGAAATTAGCACAAGATGAATATCCGCATGCGTGTTTTATGAAGTAAAATTAAAATAATAAGGGCATCGAAAACCAATGAACACAATTTATGATAATTAAGTAGCCATTTTACAGAGCACCAATTTCCAGGCAACCGTAAAAAATCCGATAAAGAGCCGGCAACTTGGGGTTATTGAAATATTGTGGGATTATGCCGTTTGGCGATTACTACTAGAATTCTATTTGGGTACCATTTCGTGTCGCAAACGCATATTTGAATTTCAGCCAACACTGCATAAGTTAGCAGATCTACCGTACCTCTCTACCGTATGCAGGCAACCGATTTTAACAACGTTGGGCTTCTTTGTGGTCACTCTACCCTGCCTGTTCGTAAACATTAGGGAGGTTGTTTGCCAGTGTTTAATTACTCCCAGCATGCATTCAGTAACTACAATATTTAATGACCCTCTGCCATCACGTGGATAATGATATGGACAAAAGCAATGGCGACATGAAGGTAAGATGGATGTTTTAGGGGTGCGCGCCCATATCATATGTCAAGCGTAGGGGTTGCGATGGCGAATCACTTATATCTTTTAGATACCGCAAAGAAAAGCATGCTTTATTTCAGTCATGTGACGAAGAATTACGTCCTCTTTATATTCTATACTCACAAAGGGAGTAAAATATGTTTTAAAAAAGGTTCTTACTATGAGATTTTAAAGACCGCGCAATGTTTATTCACATAGCATCGTACCGGTCGTTTACTAAAGTTTCTAATGAAGTGTACAACATAGTTCGCATCCATTGCAACGCTTCATGGACTCTGTATGACATCGTTTTAAAGGCACAGAAGAATATGCGATTTTCTTTACGCGGAATAAACGTACCTAGTAGGCTGAAAAAAATTAAATGCTTATTCAACAAATGATCAGACCCCAAATTATCCAAAAGCGGACATACTGTCGAGTCCGCAATTATATAGGAATATGTAACAAGATAATAAGTAGTACAACCGCGTTTAAGTTATCCTCCCTAATTGAAAACGCATTTCAGAATTTCAATCAACGTTTATGAAATTGGTAATTTACTGTACTGTGAGGCACACTGTGGAAGTCGTTCAAATCAACGATTATATTGTTAGAAGAAAAAATGCGATCGCTGATTGTACTATCGTATCTACAAAGTGCACGAGAAAAAAGCCATATATGGAGAAGATATCTTACCGTACCTTGCCTTTTTACGCATTCAACCCATGCATATCGTACTGCAGAAGCAAAGAATAGCGGGACTGGCAGTGCAGAATGCCGCAGGGAACTAGTTCAACATAAAATAAATTTTATCTAAAACACAACCTTATTCAGGAGGAATCAAACCCGGTAAATATCCAATAGAATTTTATTATTTTGCGGGGATTTTAGGGCGTTCAGAGCTAGGACGTCAGATTTAGGTTCTCTCTGATGTTTAAAGAGGGGTAGGCGGATGGGAACGGTGTCTAAAGACTAGTCGTCCCTCTTTCATTTCTGTTAAGGCGACGTGGTGGTTATAAACACGTATGCTATCTTCGTCTTTACCCAAAGTCACCGTAGCGTCCGTGCTTATGCTTTACGTGACCCTAAGGCTGGGTTAAATAACAATTGCCTGTGCTGGCGCAAGTATTCACTTATGTAGGAACTTACAGTGCATCACAGGACCTTTACAAATGATTCGGAATGCTTGTTTGAAGTCTACCCGGTGACCACTCTCCATAAACTGAGTCACACGTGCACCACAGATGGACTTCTCACCATATTGTTTAAGCTTGACAGGATGGTAATCTTTCATTAACTGCCGACTGTAGGTCGGTAGCTTTGAATCAAGCAAGTGCCATATCCCATTATGCTATTGTTGGGAAGCCTTATCAGTTTTTAACCTTGGTTAATGTAGACTGTGCCAAGTTTTGTCTATGGGTGAGCACGGCTTCCAGCTCCGTCGGCACGATACGAGCACTTAAGCATAGTTGAATTTATTATACGAGCCAGCGTATATGCTAACTTTAAGATGATGTTTGCAAGTGCCCGATGCGCAATCAGTTCCACATGTCCAACTGTCTGTCCAAAGAGTTAGTAAATTACCCGTAATA